TGTACCTTGTCTTATCGCTATGTGCTGATTACGCATGATCGTTGTGCGAGCGGCGTCTATTTGAGTTCGACTGCGACTATTGCGTTTCAGATAAAGCATGGGTGCGTGCTCTATTCGGACAGTGTGTTTCTACGCTGTGCAAATACGTCCTTAGTTAGCGGTTGGAGTGGGGCGGTTTGAGAGTATGATCAGGCCTTTGCGGACGGGTTACTGCGGCGACTTGAGAAGACTGACAGGAGATTGTTGCTTGCGTCTGGGCCGTGGTTCAACCGACTCCACTGCGTTCTTTTTGGCCACCATTGTGGGGCCCTCAGGAGATTGAAGACAACAAGGCCCTCTCCCGCAAGTCTGAGCGCACCCCTCTTGTATTTGAGAGTCTAAATACTTCTCTTTCTGCCTTTCTCAGTCTCAGTCTAGTCTGTTGGTTCAGAGAGGAAGGCGGCAGGCGGGATTGAAACCCGTAATCCGCGCCAAGGGCCTCTGTGGGAGGTTCGCCCCACCGATTGCGGGAGCTCTGACGGAGCCCAGGCGGGGTTCTGGAGGCAGGGAATTAAAGGTATAACTCTCGTTTGACGCGTGTGATCCTTTCCCCTATCTGCTATCCCGTGGGTATCAGAACGTATATGTGAGAGGCTACTACTTTTTCTGTTTTATTATGTTTGTCAGGACATGCATTGTGAAGGGTTTAATGAACAATTGTGTATGAGAAGTCAGATAATCCTTGAGCGAATTCAGACAAAACGAACTGGAGGAAGGCAAAAGGAAGGTGTTTTGCATGTTGTGACCGGGTCAAACCTAGGCTGAGTCCCTCCGGGTGGATGTGGACTCAGGGCTATGTTTTGTTGAGGTTTGCTGATTTGAATGAATGATTTTTGGCTGGTCTACCCGGGTGGGACGGATCAGCCGCTGTTTTCTTTAAGGGTTTCTGAACAGGAGGACGGGCACCCCGGGTGGGGAAGGCTCAGAATCCTGATGTTTCTTTTAATGAGTTGTGGTGTATGTTTCTTCTGAGGGAATAACGGCATAAGACTAAGCGTACCCTAGGGTTAGGGCGGCTTAGCCATGAGCCATGAACTAAATGGTCAACCAGAGTATAAAACTTGATATATATACAATTTGAACTTATATTTCTGACGGACCGGGCGCCCCGGGTGGGGAAAGCCAGTCAATAAGTCAGGTAGAACTAAGGAAGAGGGAAAGAGATGAAGAGTAAAACAAAGGTAATTGGGCAGACTGAACGTACCCTAGGGTTAGGGCGGTTCAGTTATATGCTCATGATAACACTAAGGAGCAGAGAGTTAGTATAAATCCGATTTTATTTCCCCTTGTAAACATGAGGCAGGATCGGAAGTTCCATTTATTGGAAAGGTCCGATCGACTGCTTAATAAGAGAAGGAAAAACATAAAGTCTGTGAAAGTATTTGTACCCTATTTCATGTTGTATGGCTAACTAGTCGTACCCTAGGGTTAGGGCGGCCTAGCGATAAGCTTTTGTCGTTTAAAGTAAGTTGGACGTACCCTAGGGTTAGGGCGGTCCAGCGTTTCGATGTTTATAATTGTTCAGGCAGATCAGGCACACCCTAGGGTTAGGGCAGCCTGATCACATTGCCTTTGGTAACTAAAACCGTATGGCTAACTAGGCGAACCCTAGGGTTAGGGCGGCCTAGTAATATGCCTTTGTCGTTGATGTGCTGTGGATTGGACGTACCCTAGGGTTAGGGCGGTTCAACTTTTTGTCGTTTGTACTTATGTTCAGGCAAGCTAGACCTACCCCTGGGTAGGGATGGTCTAGAATGATGCCGTATGTAACTTTGTTTAAAGCAGACTGGGCACACCCTACGATTAGGGCAGCCCAGTCCTATGCGCTTGTTGTCAGTTAGGCATATGCCTTATGTGTATAGTTCCTGTCATGTTGGGCACACCCTAGGGTTAGGGCAGTCCAAATGTGCGTGCTTTACTCGTGTACCTAGGCAGGTCAGGCATACCCTAGGGTTAGGGCCTTGTCTGACCGTATGCCATAGGAAAGGGGGATGTAAAAGGGAACAACGAGGTTTTTGAACGAACTATGAGGTTGAAAGAAACCTGAGGGATGGTGAGAGATGTTCGTTGTGATTGTTTGTGTGTGTGTTTGCGGGCTCTCACTCTGGGGCATCTTTTGATAGGATTAGTTGCTTTAGATGCTCGCTGAGTGCTGGAGCCATAGGTAGGTAAGATGGATGATGGGAGAAAAGCTTGGGATAAGATAGGACTTGACTCTGCTAGGAGTTAGGATCAGTGCTAGCTCACGCTCTCGTCTAGAGGTCGTGCAGACTATCGCTGATTCTACCTTCCAAAGTAAGCGTCAGAAGTTAGTCCCAAGTATAGTTTTGCTTTGTCTTTCTATTTTCAGCTTTGTATAAATCTTGGCAGCCTCCTTTTCCTTCGGGAAGCGCTGTCGAAATTTCTACAAATCTGAAGGAGTTAGTCATTTTTGGGCTTTCAGAAATTCTGAAAAGGCACTTTTCCTACGGGAAGCACTGCCGAAATTTCATAGAAATCGAGGAGTTAGAATAATTTATGCTAGGAGAAACTTGGCAAATCCACCCTGAATAGGGGAGATGCTGCCGAATTTCTCAGGACCTGGGATTAGAAAATGGGAGCTGAGTTTGATACTAGTAGAGGAGTTAGGATACGAGCTAAAAAGTATTCTCCATATGAGGTAAACGTAGTAGTGGTTCTCTTTGGCCTGTACTGTGATGCAGGTCTTTGTGACTCGGTTGAAGGATTGA